GGCACTAAATAAATACTCAAGGGAGAATAGACTATGGATCATTTTTAAAAAATAATGCTTGTTAGCATGCTTATGGTTTGAGCAAACCCTTTAAAAAGAGGGCTTGTGATTAGACAAAGATATTAATAAGGCATCTAAAATTCCTTTGCCATTTAAAACAGCAGCCACTTAACGCATATTAAAACAGTGACCGCTTACCTTGTATTTATGTCTTAAGGTAATTTTGATTAATAAACAAGTTAAGGTAATTTTAATTTACATGCTTCTTAGGGTTCCATAAGGCAATGTTTAGAAACAGACGTTAATTCTTCCTTTGCAAAGGCAGGCTGCCTAATTTTTTTCTTTCTATCGTCTAGGAGCTGCAGCACTGGCTTTTCCACAGTGCCTCTTTTCTAATTTTCCTTGAGCTACATAAATGAAACTGACAGATCACTGCTCAGATAGCAGCCACGTTCCTCCCCCAAAATGTTGCCTTTTTGCTATTCTGAAGTATCTGAATACCAACCAACGCTAAATGAAGTCCGACATGTACCCCTAAGAAACAAACTTGTAAGTTGCAGCTTCAAAGGAAACCTTGAATAAATAGGACACATTGTGTACACCCAGGCTAACATCCAACATATGCTTTAGTTTCCCGATGTTACGACAGAGCAAGAATAGCCCCTGGTAAAGTTTGTGATTTGCTGCTGCTGGTACATCCAACATTTATAATGTTCCATATATTTTTTCTGCTTGTATAAACAAACGTAAACTGTAATTAAGAAGGCAAGGCAACAAATACAGTAAAAAAATGAATACTGGTTTGATAAATAATTAGGAGGCATTTTGATTTAATTTTTTAAAATATATAGACATAAAAATAAATGGTTTGAGCAGATTATTCAGAGGGATGGGGAAAGAGGAAACCAAAGCATTTCATGGCTTGAGTGTCCCCAGTGTGAGAATACGGAGGAAGAGAGAAGAGCTGCTGCTAGGTTGTACTCTCTGTGACCAGTAGATGCTACTAACAGCACAAATTCTAATTCCTTGTAACAGATCAGAAGAGTAGAGAGTAAGCAAAAAGGTGTTTGGTTACCCTGTTTTACAAAAGAAACATGGCAAGAAACTTCATGGGAAGAAAACTGAAAGGCTCGGGGCCAAATTCAGCCCAACCCAGGGCTAAGAGAGAAGTGAGGAGCTTCATTTGCAATATTAGGATTTGCCGCAGGGCTACTTTTATGAGAAGCTTATGGGAGGGTTAGGGATTTGGCCTGTCCCCTCTCAAAGCGGCTGTCCAGGAAAACTAGCTGCCAAACGGGATAACCAAAGATACTTGAACTTGGGAATTACACACACACACACACTTTTATTTTAAGTTCTCTGTTTCTAGTTCTCAGTAGCAGCTTCCACTAACAGGACTGCAGCCATATGGTTAGCAATGAATGTACCACTGCAAGGTCGCCCCTGTTGCAGTGCATCATGCACCCTATCCTCTAATTCACGCGAAGCATATCATTTATTTTATTAAAAATCTGTTTTCACCTTGTACCACCTTTCAGCAAAGGAGAGCTAACAGTAATTTTTAGTAAGTTGTACAGGACAGGGCTTCCCTTTTTTACTGCCTCAGCCCAGGGCCAGATGGCTCACCGAACCATCTGGCTTAGGCACCATTCAACCTACATTATGGGACTCTGCAACAGCGCTTTGTGCCTAGAATTAAAATAATCATAACCATAATCAGCATCATTATTTTAAGTATCGTTAAGCTGCTTTTCAGGACTACTCTCTCGGAAAGTGCTATAAAAACAAGAGCACAGTCGGACATGAGACGTAGCAACCACCAATTCAAATCCATACTTTCCATTTGCTACCCTCACAGCCCAGGCAGCAAGAAGGAGGGAAGGCGGAAAGGTGGCTGGCCACCCATCGAGCAGGCACATGCGCTGGGCTGGCATTTCCCGCTTTGGAGAAGAAACCTGACAAAATTTATTGAATTGATTCTTTTGTCTGATTTATATTCTGTTCTGTCCCATCGCCTCAGAGCAGCTCACAGCAGATTTTCTGAATACGAATAATTGAAGAAATGCAATAGAATACAGTTTAAAGTGTAACATATAAGCAAAACTTTTTAAAAATGAACACACACAATAAGAAAAAAGCAGCTACAAACAAATTAAAATCCTCTTTAGCAACACATTTTTGACTTGCACACCAAAAACGAAAAGTCTCTTTGCCTAGAGGGGGCAATTATAACCTCCTACCATCACTGTGCCCCTCCTCCAGTACTGGAATCTACATCTGCCTTCCCAAGCAAGAATGTTTGAACAATTCGGCTCTTCAGCTTCTCTGGTTGAATAGCGTCACACAAGAATACTCCCAGAATACTCTATCTTTCAAACGCCACTCTTCTCTCTTCCCCTTTCTCTTTGCAAATCCCTTGAGCTTAATTGGACTAAACTTTCAAGTGTCTGGTTAGGGTTACAACCCCAATCATGTCTACCCAGAAGTAAGGCTCATCAAGTTCAAAGCGGTGTCCTCCCAGGTCAGACCGTTGCTTACTCACTGTTGGCACCCTCCCAACCTTGCTAGAGCTCCAGCGGACTATGAGCAGCAGCTCGCCACAATCAACGCCAGCGATCTTAAGGCTCCAGAGAAGCACTTGCTCTTTGGAAACATCTCAAGACCTTCGCTTCTGAGCTCACAGGAGAAAATGGGATCTGGCACAAGTCATTTGAGTAAAGAGGTGACTGAGCTCAAGTTTGGAGAGCACATCATGTATCCCTGGGATTTCTTTGACTTCCTTCTGCTACTCTTCTTTCTGGGGCTCCCAGAGAAAAAAAGTACCCCAAGGGAAAGGGGTGGAGTGGTAGACAGATGGAATATTTTTCTTTATTCTAATTAATTTTGATTGAGATGCAGAAATTGCATGCTCTCATTAGCTCTAAGCAGATATTCAGATCTGCAGGAAAAACAGAAGGCAGGGATGCTGGCAAAAAGGGCTGGTGGGTACTCTCTTAGCCATCAAATCTGTAGACTGAACACCTGTACAGGACTTAGGACTACTGCTGATTTGAGTTTATTGAGTATATGCTATTCCTCATACAAAGCCGCCAGCATCTATTAGATAGCTAGTCTACAGTTTACAGTCGCTCAGCTCTGATGAGTTTAGCGCTGAGAAGGACAGATTGACGCGACTGGCATTTCTGTTCAGTCTCTGAGGAAAGCACTGTATAACTTCCACAGCGCAGCCAAATCACAGCTCTTCCACATTTAGCAGGCCATTGCAAAGCTTTTCAAAAGGGGTTGGCAATGAGGCACCAGACTTGTGGAGAATGAGATTCTGGGTGCATGGGGAAGCATCAGGCAGGCTTCATGCTCAAATGTGTATGCGGATTTCTTTTTTTATGCACGCTCAGAGAGGCATCCTGCTAGTGCAAAGCTGGCTTGCTGGCTACATGGGGGGCTTAAAAATCTGCACATGAATACACTCTTGCCCCTAAAAAAAATATGGATCCTGTAAATCATCCAGTGGGGAAAAAATAAATAAAAGGCATTTTATAGGTCGAACATAAAGACAAGAAATTCACAGTTAAGGCTGGCCTTTAGTATGTAGGCATGGCAGGGAGCTACAAGAAAGTAGTTAAGTGGGCACCCTGCTGTGCAACTAGTTGCATTCCAACATCTCAAACTGAATTTCTTGGCTTCCAGTAATTTCTAAACACATTTTGGTAGGCTGCTTTCCCCATCACTTTATTAAAATGTATGCAGGTTCACCTCCAATTCAATGTGTACGTAACATTTCATTTTGTGCCCAAAAATGCAGATGGGATGCTCTTGAAGACTCATCCAAGTTTTGTGAAAGAAGCTATTGAAGAGTTCTTTATCTGAGATACGCCTTGACGGCTAACCATACCTCCTTGATCCCAACTATTTAGCTTGCAGATTTACCAGAACTGCCAGGAATTGGCTATATGGGCAGGCCTAGCCAATGGGAATGCAACAATAATGTCCACTCATGAGAGAGCACACCCACAAACTTTGAAACATCCAGAAAACACATGTACTCGGCAAACCATTTGGGCAGCCACTGATCTTGTCCTCTTGTCGTTAGAATCGCAGGGCTGATTCCCATATAAACGCATGCACTTTTAATGCAGCTACTCAGTATTAGATGCTGGGAATCTGAACATGTGAATACCCTCCATGATAAAATAACGTGCTTGACTTGGCACCCAGCAGTATCAGACTTTAAGCAACAATATTAGATCTGCCATGGCCCTGTCACATGCTGCAGTCCCTGACTTTGTCATATAAACTATGACAGCTCCATAGAAATCACACAGGCTCAGACAGCCATCTAGTCTGTAAAATTTCACACAAGGACGGACCACCTCTCCATCAGTTACGTATCTGTCAGCCTAAAAGGCAACACACTTCAGAAAGGCACAGCTCTACAAGATGGAAGCAAAGGAGTCTCCTTGCAACACCACTCTTTGTCAGCTCTCAGAACTGCCAGTCCCAGTACTAATCACCACTTGTGACGGGTGAGAAAACCAGGAGCTCACACAGTCGTCAGTAGGAACAACCAATAGCCAAGGGAGGAAACCGGGTTGGCCCTTCCCAGGGTTCACAGCTTGGAGTGCAGATGCCAAGCCAACAGGAAGACTCAAGCTAGTAGGTGTGCGCCTCGGCCCACGTGCTGGCAAGAGCAACAGGAGCTGCTGAGCAAGGAAAGGGGGAAGAGCAGGTAAAGTTTAACTTTACCCACAGCCCAGGTCCCTCTTCCCAACTGCCCAGCAGCTCCCCACCAAGTGTAGAAGAGAAGCCAGTACTGGAGACCAGAGAAGGGGCTCATGCAGTGAGGCAGAGGGCCATACCTGCTCACTGGAGCACAGCTTGCCAACCTCTGCAGCAGGAGCTATAGAGGAGCAATGGTCTAGCACTTCATATGCACAACCAATAGCAAAAATGAGGATAATGCTTTAGCTTTTAAAAACTGTCAAGATTGTGAGAGAACTTACCATCATAGTAGACAATAGCACCAACGAGTCTGTCTTTCCGTAACATGGGGAAGAGTTCCAGGGCTTTTGATTTGCTAAGCACATAGCTGCTTTTCAGACACTGGCTTCCAGCTACAAGGTCATACATTTTAATTCCCACCCAGTAGTAGGGCAGCTGCCACCACCTACAAAAAGAAAGAGAAAGGGGATTGATTAATCAATCAATGGAACATGGTTTCTATCACACACTTTGGATATACTTCTGTTCAAAAGGATCCTGCAGATTGCAATCCTATTTGTGGAGGGTCAAATGACTCTAAGTGAATATGGATGCTATCATTCTCATCCCTTCTTTTCCATGAAGCTCAGTGGGTGACTTTTAAAAGACAGTGCTTCAGCCAAAGTCTAGGGGGAAAGAACAGTTATCTTTCCTAATCAGAACTAGTAGGAATTACAAAATTCAAACACTGTTGCAAGTCACAGGTCAAGGTGGAACACATACTCCTAAACTAGTAACCTGAACTGTAAGAGGCTAACTATCAAAAACTAAATAAACTGAGTAAAACTGAATTGAGAAAATAACTGTGGAAAGCTGAATATTTCTCTCCCTTTTACATGGAGTTCCTGGCCAGTTTAGCAGTAAAAATTGGGAAGACCTTATTTGAAATAGTTGTCAGTCTTCTGTAAGTCCATTTAGCTTGTTCAAAAGAAATGCGAAGATTAACACAGCATCTGGTGGGAAGGCTAATGATGAGCAAATGCTTCACAGCCTAGTTCTAGACAAACTTACTCTAAACCACGGCCCATTGAATTCAACATAACTCACTCCCACACCACCATGCACAACATTGGAGCCTAAGAGAAATGTGGTGGGACTCCCAGATTAGTGATGTTAGCCAAATTAGATCTTTTGAGGGCTACTACTACTAAGAAAGGATCATGCATGCCCAGATCTGCTTTCATCATGTTTCCTGAATTAAAATGAGAGCGTGGCTTTTCTAAACCTCATGGTAGAATTTCAGTGATTTATGTTTTTCAACCTGAATTAATTTGACTGAATTGCCACAGAAAAGTTGTTGAGTCTTTAAAGGTGCCACGGTACTCCTGATACTTGAAAACACCTATTCTGTCTTCATTTTCACAAGACTTCTTATGCAGTCTCACTGGTCAAAATGTTTGCCTTCCTTACACCTTCCCCTTTTTGGGTTATGTACCAGAAAATGTACATGATGTAATACATGTGAAACTTTAACAAGAGTGTGCAATTTATTTGTAGAGTATGGAATTAGCCTTGGAAATAAGCAAAGGAAAATGCTGTCAAAACTGTGAAATGAATTACTGATCTTCTCTTTAATGCCTGGGTTATCAAAATTCAATTCAATATTCAACCTTTTTAACAGAAGTTGGTTTAGAAAATACTTCCTATATTGCTGCAGTATCAAGGTGACATTTGTTTTAATTCTTACTATTTAATATCTCTAGGCTGCCTTTCAGGGCAACAGTCCTCCTTGGGCAGCGTTCAACAGTACAATTCATACAACAAAAGAAAATGCCATAGTAAAGACCAGCAGAACACAGCAGAACACAGCATCTACAAAAAAAACTGCAGCTACAAACCAGTCTGATATGTAGGGAAAAACCCTTCTAAAAGCCTATAATGATGCCTGACAGACCCCTGATGCCAACTTCTTCCACAGACGTGGAGCCATTGGAGAAAAGTTTCTCCCTTGTGTACTCACCCACCTAACTGCCCTCCAAGGCAGCAAATGAGAAGAGTCTCTGTTACTGATCTTAAGAGTGAGGGGAGCGTGATTTCAGTAAGGGCAGACCTTCAAGACATTTGGTCCCAAACCATGTAAAGCTTTAAAGTAAAAAACAAAACCAAAACAAAACCAAAACAAACCAAAAACCTGCCCTTTGAATTGGGCTCAGAAAGATCCTGGAGACCTGTCTACCACCACGACTACTATCCTCATCATCATTACCACCACCACCATTATTTTCATTTTTATACCACTCCGTAGCTGAAGCTTTCTGTGCAGTTTACGACAAGGTATAAAACAAACCAACAGAATACAATACAAACAACATAAAACAATATTTTAAGATAGCATTACAACATTAAACAAGTCTAGGCATTCGATGAGCTGACCGCCTCACCACACCAACACCAGAGAAGCCTCATTCTGCACCATGTGAAGTTTCCGGACCATCTTCAAAGACAGTCACACATACAGAGCACCGTGTAGTCTAGCCTGGACAGCAGTAGGATATGGAGAGCCAAGGCAAGGTCTGTCCTCTCTCACTAGAGCTGCAGTTGGTATACCAACCTAAGCTGGTAAAATGCATTCCTGGACACTACAGCCACCCAGGCTTCCCTAGTTAGACTCCATGAAGACCAGCTGTAAACCTCCTTCCAGAGTATCTGGCTTTCCAGCTCACAGTACCTCCATCTTGTCTGGGTTAAGTCTCTGCTTGTCCACACTCACCCATCCCAAACAGCCCCCAGAGACAGGTTCAGTGGCATCCCTGACATGTGCAGATGAAAACAAGAGACAGGTCTGAGTGTTATCCACATCCACTTTTATATGTATATTTTAACTTATTGGTTTTATTTATTGTTGTAAGCCGCCCCGAGGCTTCGGCGAATGGGGCGGCATAAAAATGTTTTAATAAATAAAAATAAATAAATACTGATAACACTTCAACCCAAAACTTCAGATGACTTCCCCTGGCCATTTCATGTCAAGGTTAAAAAGCATGGGAACAGGATGGAACCTTGGGACACCCCGAAGCTAATGGCCAGAGAGCGGAACAAAAGCCCCCCTGACACTGCCTTCTGAGACTGTTCTTCCATGAACAACTGGAACCCCTTTAACACTGCACCTTTCGAATGCAACCCAGATAAAGAATCTAGACGTATACCATGGTTGATACTATTGAAAGCCGGTTGTCTGTGTTCACAGTGGCCGAGTTTCACTATGTTTGTGAAATTGCACTACTGCAACACTGTAACTTTCAGCATGTTACCGTCAGTGCTACTGTCAGAATCTACATTATCCAAAACACATATCCAGCAAGCTTCCCACCTGTCACCTGCACAGTCCAAGTGCTTACCAGTGTTTATGCCTAGTTTGGATAACCTAAATACTGTGGGTAGACCCCAATGCTGAAAGGCATGAGAACAATTAAATGTTTTTAGAATGCTTACAGTTGTACTAGTACCAAGTGCCTCCTTTCGTGAAATTTTAAAGGAGGTTTTAAATGCATGTTAGAAGAATTTTTGTGAGATAATTGGAACAACACAGATTGATATGCGAAAGTCCATTTGAAATGGTTGAAGACCACAGCAGGCTAACACACCTGGACTATGTACACTGAATGGATATGGAAAACACAACATACCAGATGTGTCCTGAAAGCCCTCCAGAAGGGCTGAACTAAAACTCCCAGCATGCTCCAGTCACTTGGCTGCATGAGACTGCAGCCTAACACATCCTGAGAGCACCAACTTGAAGAAGGCCAGGCTGGGGCATCAGTTAAGAACAGGAGCCAGATGCTCTGGTTTTAATAGAGTTTTAAAATGTGCTAATAGCCCTACAAGCAGTGAATGCATGACAAACACTGGATGACTTACTTGTAAACAGGAAGCATTATAGGCAGAGCAGACGACAGATGAGGTGCAATTTCGAGCAAGTTGGCACGTTCATGGAGGGCTTCTTTTACCATTCTGTACTGAAAACAACAACAACAGATTTTACAAGAGAACAATTCAGACCACATTTTGCATTTTTCTCCTTGACTGCTGTGGCCGAAGGGTACATATCCAGGGACAAATTCCCAGAAGAAGCCTTAGAAATTATGCTTGTGCAAAGTTTTTATTACACTGTGGAGGAGCATTCCCTTGAACAGAAAACCCATCCTTCTATTACAGAAAATACTATGGAGATGAATTCTAACAGCCTCTGTTCCCAACATTTATATATATATAGAAAGGTTGGTTTTTTTCTAAACAAACAAAACAAATCAAGACTAAGTATCCATTAAGGATGCAACCTACTAGATTGCTGCTGCTTGATGAAAGCATCTGAAATTGGAAGTTTTCCAAAATCCGGTGGCCTGCTGGAGTGTTGCCAGCAGGGCAGCGGGAGTGACGGAGGGTGTTTCCACCTCTGTCCTCCTTTTCAGCATTTTCCACTAGATGGGCCTCTGAGCCCATCTAGTGGAATCATGCTGCAAGGGGTGGGGAAGGGGCTCGAGTCTTTAAAATTTGGTGGATTCTGGCCTCTCCTTTCTCTGTCTACCAGCACCTATGCTTTTTTGTGTCTCCCCCCCCCCCCGCCAGCCCCCATGCTTTTTTCAGGTGTTGTGACACTGTTCTCAGAAAAGAAGCCGTGAAGCTTTCCAGGGCAGGGGTAATGACGACCGGAGGAGGGATTTCCACCTCCAAGGCTGCAGTTCCGCCTACAGCCGCAGAAGTGAAAGTCCCCAGTATCTTAGGGCATCTTCAGACAATACCCAGGGGCTCTGCTCATGTTCTTATCTCACACAAACCCTATTCTACCCCAGGAAAGGCTGCCTACACAGGAACAGTGACCCTGAAGTTAGCAGTCCAAAATCAACAGAACACTGGCAATACATTCTGGCTGACATCTCATTCTGGCTCAACTTGCAAGTTTGGCGACCACAAAAGAACCTTCCCAAGGCTATTAAAAACAAGAGTATCAACACTTGAGCAAGGAGAAGGAGATGATGTGGAGGAGAGTAGTGGCAGGAAAGCAGTGGTGTAGTGGTGGCAGTAGGGGAGGCAATGGCAAACAAGGACACTTCAAGGCGTGTACCAAGGAGGCATCTATGGGGAGGGTGGGAACGAAGCAGCAAGCGTGTCAGAACTGAAGACAGACAAAGGGAAATTGGTACTCATTTGACCTCCCCTGTGCTCCAGTTATTACCAATGCTGCTTTATCCTAATTCCCCATTCTTTCTCATTTATCACCCTACTGAACTTGACTAATGAATAAAAACCCAACCATTTGATAATGTCAGGATAGCCCATTAATGGTTATTTTTTTTAACTACACTACAGTTATGGTTTCAAATACTGAATTATTATCTGATGGAAGGGAAACTAGAAAATTTCAAATGTGATGCAGTCTGATCCTCAAACATTACAATATTTTCAAAATCATAAAACTTGATGCCTTTCATTGATTTATAAAATCTAGTTACTGTCATGACTATCACTATGTAGATCCTGACACCAATCCATTCATTTCTAACCAGATGTGCACCCCGGTTTGAGTCCATGGCGTAAGTACCACCCTGCTGCACATTCACAACCACCTATTGAACACTGGCAGTATGCGATGTCCAAGCGCTCAGACGCACAGGCCTTTCCATTGCCACCAGCAGAAGCAACCACACTTGATGCTCAACGTGCTACCCACCTCCTGCGTGACTTGGGATCTGTGCAACTGCCGGGCTGCTGTTCCATCACCGTAGCATTTTCATTAGCATTAGAAGCCAACCAATGAACCGCTTACGGTTACACACTATGGAATTCACTTCCACAAGATGCACCACCACGGCCACCGAGCTGAAGAGCTTTACATCGGGACTGGACACATTCATGGAGGGAAAGGCTATCAGGGGTTACTAGTCCTGATGACTATGGCTACCTCCTGAGTCAGAGGCAGAATGCCTATGTACAACAGCTGCTGGGGCACACAGGCAGGGAGGTGCTTTGGCACTGCTGTCTTGCTTGTGCGTTTTCCATGGGGGACAAAGCCACCTGAACTCTTTGCAGATGGTGAGGGTCTATAAATAAAACCAATATCAACTTCACAGATACGGAGCAGATGCACTCAGAAGGTAGGTGCGCATCAACTGGAACAAGTTGGGTTCTGAGAATAATTGGGCTGCCTTCCAAGATCCTCTCAAGAGGCAAACTGGCAGTGAAATACTCATGCTGAGTCTGTTCTTTTTTTCTTAGTAAAAAGAAAACTGAGAAAAAAGAATGACTCCACTGTGATTAGAATTTGATAGAACCACCAGCCCAGAGTTGATCCAGGCTGCTGGTTAGCCACCCTAGACATGGAAGATGGGAGGTATTCAGAACCAGCAGAAAGTATTTTGCATAGGACACATCCGCCAATAAATCGAGGCATCTCAGCTAACTCCTCTCAATGTCTTCCTGAGTCACACAGCAAGCACCTCAGCTGGCAATTCATTCCTACAGCATGCAACTGGAAGTGTCCTGGGACATGAAAAGATACATCTTTCTCTCCGGATGCATAGCACAGTGATAAGTATCCACCATAATCATTAAATCACATACTGCTGGAATACTGATCCCATCAATCCTCAGAGACTGGCGAGGTCCCCTCGCTCATCACAGTTGGCCACATGGAAGGTGCAGCAACCATGTAGATTACAAGGGTCCCATATGCAGCATATTCATTTGATCATACTCTTAACATCCATAATCCGTGGACAGTGCCTATGGCCCTAGGCATAGAAGTCTGGCAAAACCCTCTTGCTACCTTACCAGGGTAAAATTAAAATTAAAATAATAAAATAAAATAAACATCATTCATGAGGTTGGCCAAGTGGCATCCCTGCTTCGGTCTTCAAATCTCCTGGGCTTATAGAAGCATTCTGCCCTCACAAGCAAGAGGCGATTTACATGGACAGTGAGAATCAAGTATACAATCCTTTTAGAAGGAAAGCACATCAGTAAAGCAGAAGGGAGAACTTCACCTGATCATCAAAACTTTCTTGCTTGCAGAGTCCTGACCTGATAGAGAGAAGGATTCTACCTCTACCATTAACTCCAAGAGATATAAGGTGCCCTTTATGAATACAATGTGAAATACAGACTTAGGTGATGAGCAGAGTGAACTTGAATTTCAGTGTAGCTAATTTTAAAGTTTTGTTTTGCTATTGCTGTTAAGTTATACCAGTGGTGGCGAACCTATGGCATGCGTGTCACAGTGGGCACGCAGAGCTCTCTCTGTCGGCATGCAAGCCAAGTTGCCCCAGCAGCCGAGCACTGGATAACAGCATAAATAAGGGCCATGCGCATGCTCAGAAAGGAGT